CTTGGATATTTCAAAAAAAAAATCAATAATTTTTAACCAATCATTTTATTAAAATCAAATATAACTCAACTTTTTTTTTCGCTACAAAAAAGGATGTCAGAGGTCTAAGAAAACTATGAGGCTAGAACTCGTCGGAGATAAGACACCCCGATAAGATCATGGTCTAGCCATGCTCCCAATCCTATAGGAGGTGAAGCCATACGATGGGCAAAAATTTAAAATTGGTCCTATAATTTGGCCATTGTCAAAAAAACCACCCCTATATTGACCACTTTCAATTTAGATCCTATAATTTGTCGATTTCATCAATTTTGGTCCTTTTTTAGCCGTACCCTGGATTTAAAAAGTGACGTGGCATGAAAAAAGGACCAAAATTAATGAAATCGACAAATTATAGGACCAAAATTGACGTGCCACGTAGATCAAAATCACGCCATGTAACCTTAAAAAAATGACACGTCATGCCACGTCATTTTTTAATCCAGGGTCCGGATAAAAAGGACCAAAATTGATGAAATTGACAAATTATAGGACCTAAATTGAAAGTGGTCAATATAGGGGTGATTTTTTGGACAGTGGCCAAGTTATATGACCAATTTTGAAATTTTGCCCCATACGATGCACCCCAATCGTACTATCTGCCGCCATCACTTCATATCATTTCTTTCATACTTTAACACCAAATCAACTTTAATTAATATATTTTAACTGCACAATGCAATCCAACAAACAATACCACATTTTCAAAATTAACCGAACAAAACCAAAAAAAAAATCGGAACGAAATAGAAAAATTTTATATCTAACCATTTATAGTTTTTATGAGGAGAAACGGTAAAGCGTGAAAAAGCTTTAAAAGATAGGGCTCTGTCAAAAAAAATGGTCGTGTGGTTGCATTCTCCTCCTCCCTTTTTTTTCTTTGTCTTTTATGTAAAAAACTTGTTTGTTTGTTTGTCTTCATTTCACGTGAATGCCTAAGTCAGATTTTTCTTTATTTTCTCTCTCACAATTGCCTTTAAAACATCTGTGGACCTCTTGCTCGTTACGCCCTTTCAAGAGACACACACACACACACACATTTGGCATTTTTCCCATTCTCTCTCTAAACAAACTTGCACTTGCTCATTCACTCATTAAAGAAAAAAAAAAAGAAAAGAAGTTACTTTTTATAGATTCTCCAATGTATTTAAATTTAAATTCGATGCCCTCGCCTTTCCCGATGCAGCACGAAACTAGCGACGAGAGTATTGATCCGCTGCCTTTCGGCCCGAATAATAATCCTTCGTCGTCTTCTGTCTCGTGCCGTATTTCCTTCGATTCTACTCATGATCACGGTACGGGATACTATCACGATGATTGCCCGGGAGTGTACCGGTCTCAACATGTCTCGGTATGTTTTACACGCTACTAAATATTCATGAAAGTGTAATTATTTAATGATCTTGGTTTAGTTTAACCATCTTTTTTTTTTTTTTTTTTTGGTACCTTGTTAGGATGACAATCATGGTGATTATAACCATAACCATGGTGGATCAACATATGAGATGAAGAGCAATAGGGTTGATCAAAGTGGGCTCAAAGTAACCCTATGGAAGAAAGAAGATCGCGAAGAACATGCCGATAATACTCATCATCCCGTGAAGTGGATGTCGTCCAAGATGAGAATGATGCACAAGATCAAGAGCAACCCGGATCGCGTAACTATAAAGATAACCAAAAACAAGCTCGAGAATCAAACGTCTTCTTTTGAGAGCGATAATTCGAGCTTCGCCTACACGGGTAATAACAACCCGGTTAGGGTTTGTTCCGATTGCAACACCACCAAGACCCCTCTTTGGAGAAGTGGTCCTAAAGGACCTAAGGTAATTAATCAAATTAATCAACCAAAAAAGCTTAGTCTATTTTTTTTATTATAAATCGAGTGAGATGATTATATAATATATATGTTTTTGTTTGTTTGTTTGTTTATTTGTTTGGACAGTCCCTTTGTAACGCATGTGGAATTAGGCAACGAAAAGCGAGGCGGGCTATGGCGGCAGCAGCAGCTGCCGCCAACGGCACAACCGTTACCACCAGCAACCACCAGACTCCAAAGCCAATAAAGTTAAAAGTGAAAAACGCGCACTTGAAGAAGCGGTTCAAGACCACAACTTGTGAAGCCGGGCTGCAGTCCACCGGCAAGAAAAAGATGGGGTTCGAGGATTTCTTGGTCAATCTTAGCAAGAGTACTTTATCTTTCCACCGTGTTTTTCCGGAGGACGAAAAGGATGCGGCTATATTGCTCATGGCTCTTTCTTCCGGCATGCTTCACGGTTGATTTCTTAATAACATTTCGAATTCCGTGTGTTTTCTATGGTTCGTTTTGAGTTGATTAATTAGTTAAATAGAATTATTAAGAATGATTAATTAGGGTTTGTTCTCGAATGCTTGGAGATTAGTGTGTTTTTTTTTTTTTTTGGATGGATCGCCAATATGCGGGAGATCAGTTGAGTGAGGTTATATCTTTTACTGTTATGGTTTGTATTTGGCACTTGAATAAAGTCGTTTTTACTGGTAATGATAAGTTTGTGCTGTGGTAATAATATTGTTACTTTGTCTTTTTTGCATTGGACAACCCAATTATGAATCTCTTGTTTCATATGTTTGCTGATCAGTTATGATGTCCCATGAAATTCTGCTCGTGATATTTTCTTTGATTATTTACAGCTCATCTCTTTATCTCTCTCTCTCTCGCTCCCTCAATGTGTGTATATGAATTAGACTAAGAGTTCATAATTTGAAGTTGAATAGTGTATTGCAAAGGACACTAAAATTAATTTTTTTTTACTTACATCTCATAATAAAATTGTTAAATCTAATACTGCGCTGTATTATGAAAATTTTTCCAAAAAATATTAAACAAATATATATTAAAGATAAAATTCATTATCAAATAAAATCTGTTATTTACACTAATATGTATTAAGTTCACAAAATATAAGTTCTTAACATTATATGATGTATATTAAGTTTTATAAGAAAAAAAAAAAATCAAGAATTTTAGAAAAAAGGAGCACTAATAATATATATATCTATATATATTTTGTAAATAAAAAAAACTCTAAAAACAAATATAAAATTTTATTAAAAGAAGTGGAAGCTCTCTGGTCATATTTTATAAAGAGAACATGACAAAGATGTGACTTAGGACTATTACTCAGAAATCTGGTAAATAGATGTGACTTAGGATTATTACTTATTGTTAATATAATGGAGATATATTTCTAATATAATCATCTAATTCCACCAAATAATAAATGCAAACATTATATAATATATTTGACTAACAATAACCAAATATTTCATTATTACAAATAGAAAAATAAAGCTATTGGTTGTCTTTTATAACTGGACTGATTTTTAATCCATGAACTAGTACAGAGCCCGTGCGATGCACGGGGTGCACAATTTTAAGGTCATTTATTCATTCTTATAATTATATAAATGAATAAAAAAAATGTACGGGATATATATAGTACGTGACCTGTAATAGGCCAAAATGTGAACACGGGTGATGCACGGGGTGCAGAAATTTAAGGTCATTTGTTAGTACAGAGCCCGTGCGATGCACGGGGTGCACAATTTTTTATTATGTGTACTAAAAATACATACCGTATGCACGGGACAGAAGCACTAAATGAGTTATTTCCACAGAGTTTGCCCGTTAAGTAGCTCCTGAACACGGGTGCATAATTTGTAGTACGTACCATAAAATTAGAACACATTTCCATACAATTAGATAATAAATTAGATAATAAATGAAGCCTTTTTATTTTAGTAAAGATTTTACGTACTTTTTTTTTTACTTATCGGATGTTATGAGATTTTTTTTGTTAAACCGATTTTATGGAATATAATACAAATATAGTTAGAGGATTGAACAAAATCAGAACAGATTTTCATACAATTAGATAATAAAAATGAATTAGATAAGGAAAAGAATGAATTAGATAAGAAAAAGAAGGAATTAGATAAGGAATTTTGAATCTGACTTTTTTTTTTGGATAGATAGACTTTACGTACAAATTTTGACTTCACTTTGAGATTTATTTTGACAAAATCGATGTTAATATGGAATAAGACAAATAAATAAAGTCTTTTTATTTTAGTAAAGATTTTACGTTTTTTTTATACTTGTCAGATGTTATGGGATTTTTTTTCTTAAACTGATTTTATGGGATATAAGACAAATAAATAAAATAATTAAATAAAATTCTGGATAGAAGTAGCAATGCATTAATTACGTTGCCTTTTCAATCTACTAAATTTGGTAAATAGGATACCTTATATAATAAGTATAGATACAAATAAATAACATGCCAAATTTTAAAGAATAATTCATGTGTTTTAATTTATTATCTAGCCATCAGTAATATCATTTAATGATGTGATCATTATCTCTTAAATGGTAAATAAAATATTAATTTAATTTTTTTTTTGTTTTTTATATACTCAAATAAAAATTAAAAAAATACTATCAACAAATATGAATTATAATATATATCCGTAAAATCATTGCAGAAGTTAATAAAATTATTTAAGGAAAGAATCTTTTTGATTATATTTAAATAGGAAATATATATAAGCAAGCAATTAATGCATATAGTAAAAAATTTCTAAATAAAGTATATATTAAATGTGAGTTGACTTTTTTTGCTACTATTTTTGGTAAATAGTATGGCTTTTAATATAAGTATAGATTTGATAGGACGAACTTTTAAGCTTTATTTCATAAAAGCTCATTGGGTAGCTTTTCAAATAAGACTGTTGCAATTTTTATTTCAACCGACTTGTCAGTTAATTCTATCAAATATTGTTATCATATCAATTGCTTTTCAACTATGAGCCATAAAATG